TTTCTTTTTTAATATAAACTCTTGCCCTCGCCTCAATTATTGGTTCTGGAACTAGTAGTTGCAGGGGCAAGCAATTCTTGTAATTCTATATAAGAAAATAAAATAAATATAAACCAAAGTTCAAGTTCAAGACCAAGAACCATAAAATACAACTCACCACAGTTTCCACACATAGGTAACTTTTGAACTGAGGAACAAAAATAACAGAAGGCTCTGTTTTTCTGACGTCTATGAAAAAGAAAACTAATGTTATCCACATGAACAAAGTGTCTGAGGCACCTAACTTTCATTTCACAAAATACCATTTCCAAAAAGGTTTCTTCATATTAAAATTCAAATATCTGAAAACTACATATACCTGACAGACCATAGAAATCTTATTAATAGCTGCAAACTGAGCTTGGTTGCTAGAGGTGCCTCTCTCATTATATTGTTTGCCAAGATACAATAGAATACATCACAACATTTTTATGGATTCCTGATTCGTCCCTTTTTGTCCAGGAGTGGTGTGGGTAAAATTTTGGGCAAACCAGATACAGTGATTTCTTCCCGTTGGAAGGGTTCCAAGATTTTCTCTACAGCTAAGATCTTTTTTTTTTTCTTATCTCTTTTCCCCAGACAGGAATTTACAATTATAACCTCATATATCAACCCGCACGTACTAATAAAATTCTGAAGAGCAATGCAATATGGCTGAAAAAATCATTTCAACGACATTAATTATTTTTTAGTATTGTTTTAAAAGTGCCGTGGAACCCCGCCTTACGCCCGCCCCGTTGATACAACTATCTCTTTTTTACGGCCACTTTATACTGGCCCGAACAAAAGCTCAGCTAGATACTTTGTTAGTTCAAGAACCCCTTAAATACGTACGGTCATCCCGTTAAAACGGCCAGACTTTTGTAGCCCGTTGATGACCGGATTAACGGAGCTCCACTGTATCAGGCTTACCTTTTACATTTATCACATTCCTGGATAAAGACAGACAGAGCAAAATGATTAGTGTTTCATTTCTAGGCACACTAGAACAGTCACGAGATCACACGAGGCATGACGCGCCGTGTTAACTTACCATTGTTACATTACAGAAATACTCAGTGATCGGTCGGTCTCGAGCTTCTCTTATTCCTCGCTGACGTTCCTTCTGCTTTTCAGCTTTTTTTCGAGCTCCTGTCTTTTTCTTCGGCATTTT